TATAATATTAATATTATACTATTAAAAAAGGATTCTGAAACAGCCATCCATAATGCTAGGTCGGTCAAACTGCCAGCTCACAAGCCGGATATGGTCCGCATGGGCCCGTCCGGCTCCACAAAGGGAAAAAAAGCATCCCAATATGTCACAATACGGCACAATATGTCCCAATAGGGCAGTGGTTCCCAAATGTGGCAACTTTAAGACTTGTGGACTTCAACTCCCAGAATTCTCCAGCCAGCTGGCTGGAGAATTCTGGGAGTTGAAGTCCACAAGTCTTAAAGTTGCCAAGTTTGGGAACCACTGCAATAGGGCCATGATGCAATCAGGCTTGACACCCCTGCATAATGCATCCACTGACTGCATGTGAGAATTCTGATGTAATGTAGCTATCCCTGTCCATCATTATTTTTCCTTCTCTGAAAAACAATCACTTAATTTTCTTCAAAGACATGAACTAAAGGGCAGGACTTCTTGCCCTGTCCAGTTCTTTCAGTACCTATAGAAATGTTTCCTTCCTCTTCTCCATAACATGTACTAAAGATACAATTTGAAGGGGGGGGGCGACTTTGTAGCATTTTTCAAGGCTGATTCAGAGTCTGTCTATGGCATCTATCTACGTTTTCAGAAAGATGGGCCACATACTGAGATTCAGTGAATAAGACACCTTGATGGATGGACTGAAACAGATATCAAACTAGAGTTATGCTTCCACCAATCCATCACACAAAACAGCCACCTAAGATGCACAGGCTCTCCTATCAGTACCACTTTGAGAAGATCCTGGAAATGATAGCTTGTGAGGGGCCCTCAATCCTTCAATCCAAGTATTAATCAAATAGGACCCTGCTTAATTCTCCTCCTCCCTGCCACGCACACACTCATCTGCAAAGTTGCTAAATTATCTATCTACACACTTTCTTAACTTGCTATAAGTTATTACCACAGTGGAATGAACAAACTAGTGATCACTACTCACACAATACAAACGTTCCAGACTTATTTCATGGAATCTGATATTTACAATAAAAAGTCTACAGCTGACACATAGGGCCATGTGTGCCTGTTCTATATTCCTATGTTGTTAGTTGGGAAGTTGTGTCTGACCCATCACGACCCCATGGACAACATTCCTCCAGGCCTTCCTGTCCTCTACCATCCTCTGGAGTCCATTTAAGCTCACGCCTACTGCTTCAGTGATTCCATCCAGCCACCTCATTCGCTGTTATCCCTTTTTTCTTTTGTCCTCAAACTTTCCCAGCATCAGGCTCATCCAGTGAGTCCTTCCTTCTCATTAGGTGGCCAAAGTATTTAAGTTTCATCTTCAGCATCTGGCCTTCTAAAGAGCAGTCAGGGTTAATCTCCTCTAAACTGGTACAAAAGATATGTGATCTTATCTGTTCCAACCATAATTTTCTTTCATTTTTAAATATGCATTATCTCCTTTGCCTCAACTAAGAATCACAGAATCCAAATGAAGAACATGACAAGCTTTGCTAAATCAAACTTTACATCACCGTGGCAGGGCAGACAAGGTGAATTATAATCCTCCCCTGCAAATTTCCTAAAGGAGCACATGCAAGTATATCACACCAGAGGTGGTATTCAGCCAGTTCTGACCAGTTCTGGTGAACCGGTAGCGGAAATTTGGAGTAGTTCAGAGAATCGGCAAATACCACCTCTGACTGGCTCCGCCCCCATATATTCAATGCCTCCCGAGTCCCAGATGATCGGCTGGGTCTTCTTCTGTTGGCCTGCTTAGGAAAACAGGAGCTGGAAAGCAGATTAGTGGGGTGGGGAGGGAATGGAAATTTTACAGTATCCTTGCCTGGAGTGGAGTGGAAATGGGGATTTTGCAGTCTCCTTCCCCTGCCACGCCCAGCAAGCCACGCCACGCCACGCCCACAGAACTGAGAGTAAAAAATTTCTGAATCTCACCATTGTATCACACCATATTACATAGCTTACTGTGAAGTTTATTGAACTTACCCTGAGCATGGGTCCATTCTGGAATACGTGAGGTTCATCACAAACTACACAATATTCATTTAGTACAGGTATCCGCTGCTCAGCAAACTCAATTGTCTGAGAACAACAGAAAATAGAATAATACAATCTGCTTAAAATAATTAATAAGCAGCTCAGCCTTCTGCAAGTTTGTAAAACTCATCAGGCATTCTGACCTACCTGCACGAGAAAGCCGTGGTCTCTTATTGGAACAGATTTTGCACCATAATTTGGCTGTTTAAAAAGAAAAGAAAAAACTAACATCAGGAATGCTGCAGGTTGAATATGCATCAGCCTTGATATAATTTTGTATTACCTATAATATAACGATGCAAACTAAATAGTATTCAGTTTCCGGAGGACATTCAGAACTATTTGCTATTTCACTGGAATTCAGTTGGATCTTTTTAAGCAGTTCTATACCCAGTGCATTCATTTATCAATGCACTAGGGGGGGGGGAGTTGAAAATAATTCATTTGGAAGAGAGAGAAAAAGGGAAAACAATATGTCCTTTTCAAAATGCTACTTCAATATTCATAAATAATAAAACCCCAGGAGAAACCTAAGACCAATACTGGTTAGACTTGCATTTCTGTTGCTTGGTTTCATATTGAAACAGATTATTTTTTTTTTTAAAAAAAGTCCTGTGCTAATATAGTACCTGCTGTGAACTGCTGAGTGTGTAGCACATGCTTTGAATATGTAAGATCCCATTCCATTACCATCACTGTTAATTAAAGAAGTCTTGGACTTATTGAGAGTTTGGAGTTTGGTGACAAAAACTAGTGTCCTAATATAGAATAAGTTCCTTTCCTTTTCCTTTTCCTTCCTTCCTTCCCTCCCTTTTTAGATGGGAAGAACACAACAATGTCATGGTTTTCTATAGCTCTTTCTATATATATTTATTTTATTTCTTTATTTTTTATTATAACATGACGGAAGCAGAGGTGAAATTCAGCAGGCTCTGGAGAACCGGTAGCGGAAATTTTGAGTAGTTCGGAGAACCAGCAAGTATCACCTTCGGCTGGCCCAGGAGTGGGGATTTTGCAGTATCTTTCCCCTGCCATGCCCACCAGTTTTACCAGTAGTAAAAAAAAAATGAATTTCACCACTGGAAGGAAGGGGTAAAAAGTTAAATAAAAAGTAATCCTATCAACTACATGTAATTCAATTAATGTTAGGAAATTAAAGCACCATTTGATTTTGTCTAAGCTTTGCTTATTTTGGGGGCTGAGTAAGTGTGACCTTGGCCTGAAGAAGTTTATTTCTTCAGCAGAGGTGAGCCCACATTCAAAAAGCTTCAAATCAAAGTCACCACTAAATGTGCAAGGAAGTTCAAAGTCTTGCACAAGTTATGTTTGTATAGCTGTCTTGAACAGATTCCCAAAGGCTCTACAACTAGACTTTATCAAATGAGGTCAATTAGGCTAGGAAACCTTGTGAAGCTTGCCCTCTGCTCCCAAAGCTCCCTCAGTTTTGTTCCATGGATTAATTCTGGGAATCAAAGCTCCAGAGTAGTTTTGCATAACTCTGTATGAACTGTGAGCAACAGAGGATTCAGAAAAAAAAGGAGGAGGAAGAGAAAGGGAGACTATATATTTTATGTGTTTTCCTTAACTGTTTGTCCAAAAACATTTTCTTCCTTGAAAGTGGACGTTTTGATGAAAAACCTCATCTCCTGTAAGAAAACCACTGATTTGCATTTATAAATATAAAGATAAATATCTACTATGGAAACTTTTTACACATACACATACACACACATATATATTTTTCAGGGAGATCTTATTTTAGCGCATGCACTCAAAAGCCTGATTGGGCTTATTATCCGGGAAAGTCTTATTTTTGGGGAAACAGGGTATATTAATGTATGTATGCTAATATCACCTACATTTATATATGTTTCTACTCACATATCCTGTACACACTAATTGCCACGAAGAAGTAATAGTTCAGATCATGAGAATTTAAAATTGGATTGTTTAGTGTAAGACATGATACAGATTATTCAATGATCATTTCTGCTTTTACTGTAGAAAGGAAGGTGGGCCATTCTATTTTTAGTACTAAAAATTTCCCATTATATCTTGTGACATTATCTAGTGTATCTTTGAGAGCTACTTCCCAGAGTACATTGTGTAGGAAACAATATAATGACTGAAAGATTGGTTATAATAACTCCATTAAATATCGCTATATTGAGAAAATGCTAAAAGTCTTCTGGATGTATGCCTTAGTGTATGACACTGATAGCAATAGCAGTAGACTTATATACCGCTTCATAGGGCTTTCAGTCCTCTCTAAGCGGTTTACAGAGAGTCAGCATATTGCCCCCAACAATCTGGGTCCTCATTTTACCCACCTCGGAAGGATGGAAGGCTGAGTCAACCCTGAGCCGGTGAGATTTGAACCGCTGAACTGCTGATCTAGCAGTAGCCTGCAGTGCTGCATTTAACCACTGCGCCACCTTGGCTCTTACAGACATTAAATAGAGACATGCGCAACCACCCACAGCATGCAAACACAACATTCTGAAAAATCTATCCAGTACTTGTATAGTAGCATTTCTTTTCATTTTTCCTCCTCTAAATCCTTTAAATTATGCCCGCCAATATTTGCTAAGAATTATAGTTTAATTCAGCAAGGTTTATTAATATAAATCAGGGGTGTCAAACTCAAGGCCCGAGTGCTGCGAGGCCGCTCTGCTTCTGCCAGCAAAAACAGACCTTGGAGGGCCGCATGAGGCCCATATGAGCTCCATTTTTGCTGGTAGAATGATTGGGCCACCACAGGCACCCCGACACAAGTGATGTCAAGCTGACCGTGCCCCCTGACCACGTCCCCTGAGGTCAAACACAACCCTGATGCGGCCCTTAATGAAATCAAGTTTGACACCCCTGGTATAGATCAAGGACTAGTAATTCAGATCAGGTTATCTATCAATCCTGAAAGTAATAATCAAATAATTTTCAATGAAATTAAAATGAAGTTTTAAAATGTGCACAAAATTCATAAACCAGACTCTCCCATAAAATCTCAGGTAACTCATCGGCCAAGGGAACTGGGCAATCATACTGAATTCTACAGTGATGCTGAAGGCTTGCAATGTTTACCAAGTCTGTGGATATGTAGAAGGAAAAAAAATCTACTTTTCTAAAATGTGGTGAGGTTCCCTGAGCATTAGCGGAATCGATCCGCACACCAAATTTATGAGCAAAGGTACTCGGACTTTCCTAAGATCCTTATGCATTTAACCATTCTAAAAATATGTGGGAAGAAAAGAAAAAGCTCACAGAAGAAAACCGTTTACGCACAGCGGATGGCGATGGCGAAGATGTGGATGGTGTTAAGATACCAATAAGCCCTGAGGTAAGAGAGAGTCTCCTGCCCTCTGTTATTGTGGGTTCTTTGAAAAGTTCCATTTTAGATGATTTGGGGGCACTGGAATAACTCTTGCTGAGTAACTTGTGGTTCTTCAACCCATCTAATTCATCCATCCTAAGATTACTGGAATAAGACCTGCTTAAAAGTTTGTGGGGCTTCAAAGTACTGTTGTGCTCACATCGCATATCCCCAGAGCATGGTCTATTCAGCAGTTTGTGGGACTTTAACGTGATGCCTTCATCCTGCTTGATGGTTGCAGAGCAAGAGTGGTTCAACAGTTTGTGTGACTTAATGGTCATTGTATGTTCGCTGGAGAGCGAGCGACCAAAGGTTCTGTGAGATTTTGCCACACAGGAGTCCTCAGATTTAACTGTGCTAGAACAAGTCCTCCTCAATAACATGTGGGTTTTTGAGATACCATCTTGTTCAGGTTTCAGCTTTGATTTGTTTTTCCCACAGCCTGGTGGAGGATAACTCGGCGACCTTAAAGACAACCAGAGAAAATAATTAATTAGAGTACATGTAGGCCTTAGATCACTATGAGAAACATCAACATGAGAATGTTTTCCTTCAGCTTCAAATTATAGGTTATCCATATAACCAGTATCACCAATTAAATCAGTGGCCCCCAACCTTTTGGGCATTAGCTTTCTTTATAGATTTTTGGAAGTTGTTTACTGTTACCTTATTCCTTGAGGTAACAAGAGAGTGACTGGCCCAAAGTCACTCAGTTGACTTCAAACCAAAGGCAGGATTAGAACTCATGGTCTCCCAATTTCTAGTTTAGTGCTTTAACCACTACACCAAACTGGCTCTCAAATATTTGATAGTGAATACTCGCCAAGCCTCCAACTACAGTTTATTACTTAAACTAATTTATTAAATAATAGAAATGATATATTCTTCCCAAGTCAAACCAATAGCTCATCTCTTCTTTATTAAATCAATGATAGCAGAATGGATAACAAAAAAAAAATTCTATCTACTCATGTCCTTTGAAAGTTATATTGATTATTTTGCCCAATGCCTGTTTTCTAAAATTGATGTTGAAATATTGACTCTACAGTACATCTTACATAAACTCAGTGGTGAGATTAGTAGCTTGTGAGAAAATAAAAAAGGATTTAATTGACCAATTAACTATCATACAGGGATGGAATTTCACCTAAAACACATGCAGTCATACATACAAATTCCACCTGGTCAATCGATTCATAAGACCATCTAAAACAGCCGGATGGCCCTACTCCCCCAAAATAAAATAGCAATAATAATAGCAATAACAGTAGACTTATATACCGCTTCATAGGCCTTTCAGGCCTCTCTAAGCGGTTTACAGAGTCAGCATATTGCCCCCAACAACAATCTGGGTCCTCATTGGACAGAATAATAGAAAGCAGAGTTGGAAGGGACCTTGGGGATCTTCTAGTGCAATCCCCACTCAAGCAGAAGACCCTATACCATTGCATACAAGTGGCTGTCTAGTCTCTTCTTACAAGCCTCCAGTGATGGAGCATCCACAGCTTCTGAAAGCTAGCCATTTCGCTGGTTAATTGTTCTCTGTTAGGAAATTTCCCCTTAGTTCCTAGTTTTCACCTTGATTGGTTTCCATCCATTGTTTCTTGTCTTACCTTCTGGTGCCTTTGGAAAATAGATTGACCTATTTTCCAAATTTTAATTTCAATTCTAAATTTGTTAGAGTTGACAATCTGAAAAATCTAGCTTGTGATGGATCTGTAATGGAATTCTGAGTTTGAGAGCAGATGCTTTTGAAATCTGGCACAACCAGAAGAGGTTAACATTATTTTTTATATCTTCTAAAGGGGAAAACAACCTTCTCCAAGTCAACAGACAATTAGAAAGAGGATCAAAGGCATCAAGAAAGTCCTGCGTTATCTTACTCAATGACTAATGAGAGATAAAATATAAATTTGATAATCTAATCTTTGTCTTTTCATTGTCCCAATTAATGAGACTATAAAAATCTATTTTTGGGAGTTATATTCTGCAATTGGGAGACTGAGAGACTGTCAGGGTTTGATACCAATGAACATATTTCTCAAATACTGACTGACTGCAGTGGCTGCTTTTCTAGCCAACAGAGAAGAAGCTAATTATATTTTTGCCAATACTTTGGTGACACAAAGAATCATGGGAAAACAAAGTCCTAGAGAAAATGTATAGGGCTCTACATTTTCAAACAAGTAAGCCCTTTTAAACCGAATCAGTATGATTGTGTGTTGTAGAACCACTGATACGTTGATTTGACCATGTTAGTGACTGTGTTTTGGAAAGAAGAGTCACTGAGGATTCCAAATAACATTACCATTGTCTGACTTTCAATTAATTGGTGGAAAATTGTTTATAAATTAGCATATGGATAATATAGCAGTTCCAAAAACCTGTTTTCATTATTTACTTTGTAGGAGGCAGCATCTCAGAAAAGAAATTTCTCAACTCTGTAGAATAGAGAGGTGATGCAACTTCTAAAAGAACACTTTCTATCTGCAGTACTGTTTATCTTTAAAAAAATTTTTTTTAAGGATGGGTTGCCTGATTAATTGAAAACAGCTTTTCAGCTGGATGGTATTCAAATCATTAAACAATTAAATTACACAGCTGCCTTGTTTAAAAGAAAAGTTTGTTAAATAGAACGAACAAAAGAGTAGAGACAAGGTGCTTCACCAATTATGCAAATTATCTATGTTCAAATATGAACATAGCTTAATAGTTATTTCATGGGTCTATGAATTTTCTCCATCAGGACACTAAGCAGATCAGTAACCTCCCTAAAGCAGTGAGATCTTGCCAGATGTAACTGACAAATTACAAGTATATTTTTTTGAAGTGTCTACTATATTTATTGTGCTACTAATAGATCTCTGCAAGGCAGTGGGTGAAGGTCAGGGAAGGAAATTGCATGATGTGGATCTGCAGAAATTATTCTACAAAACAAACAAACAAACAAAAAACCCTGACAAAACCTATATTTTTCCTTAGTCTCTAGACAGTGTGAGTTATTCAGGGACACATGCACATTGGTGAACACACATTTAAAATAAAGGGAACTACTGAGTTATTTTGGACAAAGTTGCATACCTGTTGAGATCTGTGAATATAATGAATATTAAAGGCTATTTTAATTGACCTAGAATTTCTAATAGCTTAGGGAATTCCGATGTCAACTCTGAAGTGAACCTGGCTGGGGCCATTTTTGAGGCTTCAGGGTTGCCACAATGCAAAGATGGGATAGGGAGAGGGAACATAATTAGATGGGGGGGGGGGTTGTAGCCAAAACAAAATAGTTTCCTGTGGGAACTAAGGATATTCCAACAGGTGCCGAAGAGAGGAGTCTGGTTACTATGCGACCAGCCAGCACCTTGACTTGACAATATGACTGACTATTGGGGGGAAAGGGGGAACTTTTGTTTTTAATCAGATGAAAATTGCAGGAACTTTCAGAGTCAGTTTTCACCAGTTTGAGCCAATATGATACCTCTAATAAAAATGTTCTTTGAGGAATCTGCCTGCCTTGGAGTTCTGCTTTCTATGGGGCTATTACTTGGAACCCTGACACATATACTTTTAAAATCAAAGAATTAGAATCTAAAGGAAATCAGTTACAAAAACTGCATGCAAATCCATTTCTTCAGTCGCAGATTGTGTGTCTTGTGGGTGGGAGATGACTAGTAGATATTTTAAAAAACCTGCAACCCCCCTCACAGAGTAAATAGGAATGGAGAAATGATTACTCTCTGTGTGGCATCAGTTCAGCCTTTGGATATAAACGGTCTGCTCCTAGGAAGTGGCAAGTGGAAGATACCAAGAAGAATAAGATTTTAGCTGTGATCCCCTCCAAATTATCCCGATCTATCAAAGGATAAGAGGACCACTCCAATTTGGGATGCAGAAGTGATATTACATCACTTTTCTAATACTGCTAATATTTATTTTCTTTAGAAACAAAATCCAGAGAAATATTCACCAAATTAGAGAAGAGCAGATGGAGGTGCTTCTTACTTCCCATCCACCCCAAATATACTATTCCTCTTCATTCTGGAGGCACTTCTCATGTTTGATCACATGGACATAAACTGCCACATTCTCATATAGCAATTTCAGGATACGTCAAGCAATGAGCCTCTATTTTGCAAAGAGACTGGCAGTGCTTTTATCATATATAAAAAGAGACCTTTGGGCAATCATCAAAACTGTTCAGAAATGAACACAACTACCACTCACTCCCATTATGCTTTCTTTTTCAAAAAAAAATTCAACAGACTAAGTCAGTGATGGCGAAACATTTTGTAAAGGCGTGCCAAAATTGTGTGTGCATGGGCTATCACACTTGTGTGCATGCCCACACCCACAATTCAGTGATCCCCACCCACTTGCGTATGCGCGCATGATCCCCACCCTGCGCATGTGACTCACACACACACACACACATGGGGGGGAGTTTTTGCCCTCCTCAGGCTCTGGAGGCTTATCTGAAGCATCGGGAGGGCAAAAACGGCTTCCCCCAGACCTACAGAGGCCCTTCAGAAGCCGGAAATGGATCATTTCCAAACTGTTGTGCCTGTTTTTCACCCTCCTCAGGCTCCAGGGGCTTTCCTGAAACCTGGGGAAGGCAAAAAATGGACTTACAGGCCAACCAGAAGTTCATTTCCGAACTTCCAGTTGATCCATTGGGCCTGTTTTAAGCTCTCCCCAGGTTCTGGAGGCTTTCCCGAAGCCTGGGGAGGGTGAAAAACAGATCCAATGGGTCAACAGGAAGTTTGGGAACCAACTTCCTATTGGCCCGTTGGACCTGTATTTCACCCTCCCTGGGCTCCTGTAACCTGGGGAGGGTGGAAATGGCCTTCCCCGGCCCTCTGGAAGGCCGAAAATCAGCTGGCGTGCACCAAAGCTGATGGTCGCATGCCAGAAGATATGGCTCTGTGTGCCACCTGTATCACGCGTGCCATCACTGGACTAAGTGGACTATATTCCTTTTCTTCACCTGGGAGGCCTTGGGAGCAAAAAAAAATAAAATACACACACACAAACACAAAAATTAATTCTAGTAGAACCCATTGCAAAAGTGTTTTTAAATCCTGAGTTTGTTGGGGGGGAAATAAAGTTAGTCAACATGCTTGCGCTGAAAGTAATGTGACAAGATTTCACTAAAGCGTATAGCAACAAGGTACATGTTTTATCACTTTCTCCTACCTGCGCAATGTAGAAAAGATGTGCAGGGGTGATTTCACTTTCTTTTCTGACAGTTTTTTATTGTGCGTACTGTTTGATTTTTCTTTGCCATTTTTCCATTGCTGTGTAACAAATGTTTGCATAATTCTGTAAAATATGAAACAAACAACTACTCTGGGAATCTGAGCAGGATATAACAATCAATCAATCATTGTAGTGCATGCATACCTTGCCCAGAATGGAAATTTAAGTCTGAACTGTCAATGGGAGTCCTGAAAATCTATGTTCTGTTTCAACCTGGATTTGGTTGATTGAATTGAAATGCTCTCACTCCTATGCTTTCTTAGCAACAGCTATCTTTAGCTTTTATATTAGAAGTATAGTAGTATAGCTAGTATAAAAGTCTAGTATATCAGAAGCTCTTTTAACACATGTATTGTATGCTCAAAGCTATCTGCAACTCTTTCAGTAGTTGAAAAAAAAAGAATACAGAAAGGAAGATGCAACATGCATTGTAGTCCATTTAATCACCCTTAATTTATCTTCCATACTGCTGAATACAATCTATGGATAACATTCTTGCAAATGATAAGGAATGGATTTTTCACTTTCTAATCTAGTCTGAAGAATATCAGTATACTGATATTGCCTACAGCTTCCCATTCAAATCCTCCTAGTTAAAATATCTGAAATCTCTACTCCAAAAAGTTACAGGCGTCCAGTTTTAGGTCTATAAATAAGGCAGGATTCATCAGATTTTCTTTTCTGTCTAAAGCATAAAATTCATATTTATCTCAAAGTTGCCTAGAAGTCTTGGCTTCTTAAATTTTTCAAGAAACCAATTCTAAGAAATGCAATTGAGGAATTGCTGATTTAGCTTTTGGATTTGTTCATGTCCAATACATTTATATAAGATTGACCTTAAATATCCATTCATAAACTCTGAGAAAATAAAAAAGTCAAATTATTTCAATTTGTTATAGTCATGCAAGGCATTGTAATAGTCAAAGGTAACTATTGTTAATATGGTTTATCTAAGTGAGGAAAGCTGCAAAAAAGGATACTTTTTTAAACATAGATTATAAAACAAAATTGTAAATCTTTAAGGGTCATCACAAACAATGCTAGAGTTGTTATTAATTCAGAGTGCATTTGCTATAAAATATTGTTGCCAGAAACAATACCTTGCAACTAGAAGCAAATATTTATGCATAACACATTCATGTCTCTCTTTGGAGAAACTTACTTCTTTAGTTGATGCCCCAGTCCAAATCTTTCTTTAGTAGAGATCTGAAATACATCAATGGTGGGCACTGTCGAATAAAAGATATTGTTGAAAAAACAGGGTCAACCACATGGTTTAAAGGTCATTATTAATTATACTTTATGCTATAGTTGGGCAATTAAGGGCTCTAAAATACATGAAGTGCGCCAATCCTCATTCAAAGATATCCAGAGCACTCCAAGATTATAGTTCTAAATTTGGCAGAAAAAAAATATATTTTCAGTGGAACTTTTACTTTTTGGGGGGGAGAAAGAGAGAGAAAATAAAGTATAACTTAAGTCTCTGCAAGGCAAAACATTTTTTCCACTCTAAACTCCTGCTGAGCCATCTCCAAATACTGAAAACCTTTCAATCTTGCCCTCCTGATAAAATTGCTATATCATCAGAGACATTTCCCCCATTACTCCCAGAAGCTGTTAAAAAAGCAACAATAACAAAATCCTAAAGCCTCTAATGTTTTCCCACTGCTGTTATATGAGCAGAATGAAGTACTAGTTACAATTAAGGTAACTGGTGTATTAGAAAAAACACAATGAGCTGTATATAACAATGGATTAAAAAAAGATCCTGTAGCTTCCATGCTAGCAACTTTTTCCAGTGGTAAACACAGTACATCTAGACAGCAATGAGTAGTAACCTCTGGAACTGATTAGAGTTGCTCAATTGAACTTCATTCAGATAGGTGCTGAATTTCATACCCATTCCAATTACATGAGAAACTACAATTCCCACAATCTTAATGCTCACAAAGCAATACCTCCTCTTCTGACCACTGCTTCTATCAGTAAGAACAAGTGATGAGAATAATTTGCAATGATGTGTCCAATTCAAATGTGCTACTGAAACCAACCAAATTATTCTAGGTTGAAATTTTGGTCATAACTAGACCAACTGTACTTTCTGGTTTTTCTTTGAAAACCTTTCGCTTCTCATCGAAAGAGGCTTCTTGAATGAAGCTTGGATGAGGAGAAGCTTCTTGGATGAGAAGCAAAAATGTCTTCAAAGAAAAAACAGAAAGTTCAGTTGCCTCTTGAAAAAGCATCTTTGGGACAACCATGACCTGGATGGCTGAGACTCTCCATAGACAGAGGCAGAAATGATGATACAAAAAAACCTTGATTTTAAAAACAAAACCTTTGCCAGACTAATCCTTGAATACAGCTCTTCTGCCTGGAATCCACACTGTATATAAGACAATAATGCAATCGAGGGGGTCCAGAGGTATTTCACGAGAAGAGTACTCCACTCCTCTGCTAACAATAGAATACTTTATGACACCAGGCTTGAAATTTTGGGCTTGGACAACCTTGAACTACGCCGCCTACGGCCTCACCTAAGCATAGCACACAAAATTCTCTGCTACAATGTCCTACCTGTCAACGATTACTTCAACTTCAACCTCAATAATACACAGGCAAACAATCGATACAAACTCAAGGTAAACCGCTGCAAACTCGATTGCAGAAAATACGACTTCAGCAATAGAGTAATAGTATTTTAACATGAACTCCATATGGAATTGTCCAAGCAGCTCATTTGTCAATTCACTTTACTGGCTCCCCCCCACACACACACACATTGGAATCAGATCCTCTTTTTACTAGAGAGTTTTATTTATTTTGCTGACTATACCTTTCTCTTCGTACTTGGACAAAAGCCTGCCTGCCTGAGATCTTTGCTTGATGTAGAATAAAGCAGATTTCTGCTTGCATTTCTCCAAAGCCTTTTTCAAGACCATTCCTATTTTACCAATATGGAACTGGGGACGGGCAATTGCTTTTCGGACCTGGGGCAAGTTGTGGAGAAGGAAAAAAAATGGTTAGCCCTTTTTGCATTGTTCTTGCCACCCTCTGAACGTTTCTGCAAGATAGAAACTGTTTCCTGTTCTCAGGCAATCATAGGGCTTGGAAGAAAAGTGGGGATATTTATTCCCTTGGAGATAAAGTGATACGATACCAACTGGGAAAAAGAGAGCAGCTTGGTTAGTGAATCAGCCTATACAGTGATGGCAAGTTAGGGAAGAATGATTTGTATGATTGAGGGAAAATATACGTGTTCCAATGTTGCAGGATCCAGTCTGGGTGTTGTGGCCCGCCAGCGAAGCTGTTGGCAGACTCAGACAGTGAGAAGTTGGGGATGAACATGGACCAGTCCTGGAGTCTCGGGAAGGCTCTGATGTGTGCCCTGCATTGGAGGCAGAGATGGGGCCAGAGCCATCCAACAGTTATCAGCTGCCTTCGGAGTCAGAGATCAGTGGGGCAGAAAAACAGCTGGAGCCTGTTCCCCCTGTGCGCATGCGCAGAACTGCTAGGAGAAGGGAACAGTTAAGGAACAAGGCCTGACTGGGGAGTAAAGGCACAGGTGGACGGTGAATAGGGAACAAAGAGGAGCAAAGGGGGAGTGGAATTTGCAGGAAACAATTAATTCACTTATTTAGTGTGAAGATTTGTTCGTGACTCTCAGAGGCACCTTGCCAAGTATTTTCTTGTACAGCATTGCGTTTGGAAGCTATTGGCCTGGCAGCTGTCCAAGCCTGATAAGGTCTGTGGTTGTAAATTAATTCTCGAAAGACTGTTTGCCAGGACTTTGCTGGATGTGAATGACAGGAATTCACATTAGCTTAATAAAAAGGGGGATTGGTCGGGACAAGGAGTCAGCTTCGTGATTTCGTGAAGCCTAGGTCAGAACACTGGGTTGGTCACTTGGACCAGAGGTTTAGTCTTCTGAGCTTTTGCACGCATGCTGGAGCCCATCCTCATGAGTTCTCTCTCACCAGAATATGTCACAAATTCCGGCGACAAAGAAGTTCCACGAGGATGGGCTCCAGCATGAGTCTGAACCTCAGAAGACTAAACTTCTGGTTCTGGTGGCATGATCTGTACATCTTACCATTCAGTATTTCAACTCTGCTACTAGATACAATTCAAAATCCGCAGTTATGGGGTAGATGAAAATATCTGCAAGTTATGTAAATGTGGCAGATTCCAAACATTGGAACAGTTTCATATTCTTTCGCTGAGTAAGGAGTTAAATAAAACAGGAACGTGGTGCGTGTGGTGACTGCCATTTTTAGTAGTTGGCAGGTTTGTACTTTTTGTGCCTATCGGATATATCTGACATTGGACCTTGTAGAATTTTATTCAAGCCTTACTTGGCAATAAATGAGTTTGACTTGCAGGGACATTGCCTGAAAACCTAATGTAGCTGTTGGAGAAATGAAAGCAAAGAGAGCAGAGAATACAGAAAGAGAGATAACAATGCATAAAGGCAATGCATAATTTATAAAACAGGCCATCTGAAGCAGAAACTTTTTGCTACCCTTTTATGAGTATTTCATTGCCCATTTATTGGTGTGTGAGTGTATTATTAAAACTGGAAAAAGTAATAAAGAAAAAAAAGCCCCTGGTTTATTTTTAAGAAAAAGAAGACTCTTCTTTTGGTGGTGGTGAAGTATTAATACTGCTAGAGAGAATTAAAAATCTGGGTTGAAAAGAGACTTAGGAAAGTATAGTTTCTAAAAGGAATAAGGTTAAATGAGCTGGTGTTATGGAAGTCCTCTCTTTGAACATTTTTAAGGCTAGTACTGTATTTTTATGCATATGTTTTTCAAATGTCTGTATTTGTGCAATAAAGTATGTTATATAACGATGGCATATATATGTTATATAACTATGTGCATGACCACGGTGATAACAATGAGCTCTTGTCCCTTGGAAAAAGTCTCCAAATTATGAAAACAAGAGACAGGTTAGATTTATCACAAGAACACAGCTGATTTCTTTAATACAAGGGGTTTTTGTTTGGAAATCATAGCTAGATACTTTTAGAGAACCTCAGCATTGATGTAAACAAAATCAACCTTCAAGGTTACATTTCAAAAGTACTTGCATTAGTATAATTAGATACTGCAAATTATAACAGCTGGTTTAGAAAATTTAAAAAAATGAAAATTATTAAAAGCAGAAGGAACCATTTTATCAACTCACAGAAACAATTATGATACTGAAATTTTGGTTTACTGCAATTAAAATAATAGCCTATCAAAATGTAAAATTGAGTGAAGAAGAGTCTCCTATAAAAGGCTTATAATGACTTTTATCTCAGCAAATATTTAAAGTGTTACTTAATTGGACCTAGTTTACTGAATCTCTAATGCCATATGTTGCTATTAATAGAGAACTATAATTTTCTCTATTCTTTTTTCTCCCTTGCAGTATTAATATTTATAAATATATTTGTATACAAGCATTATTTGCATTCTTAATTGCTTGGCTACAATCCAAATCACCATAACAGCAACTGGAATAATCATATAAGAAAAGAAAATACAAGGTGGTTATATGCAGCCTTTTTGAAGTTTTGTTGTTGTTGTTAAGGAGCAGTAACAAAAAACACAATCATTTTTGCTGGAATATCTAGTGATTAACTCTAATTTCTGCCTCAAGTAATCACACAGTACTAATTGGACAAATTACTTGCAGCCTCAGATGATCTAATGTTATAAATTAACTTGCAATAATTTAATATATACCATCATAAGTGAATTTTTTTAGTAAAAATGAAAATGATTAGTCAAATCTATATAACCAATTTCCAAACTGACTCATGGCAATAGACTAACAGACGTCCTTGAGACAAGTTGACTTCTAATTACTGTATCCATGATCTCTTGGCAGGATCCATTTGCTGTCTCAGGAAGAGTTTCTTTTTGGTTTTGTTTTAGTTTCCAAATCTAAATCCATTGTTCTAGAATTTTCATCCAAGCACTAACCAGGGTCAATCTTTATTAACTTCCAAGATAGTGAAGGTCTGTAAAGATCATACTTAGGAGGAAGACTACCAGAAAATATCAGTCAGTTGATTAGACTGAGAAAATGAAATGTGTCTTGGAAACAGGCAGCCACCTTTGTGTGAATATGCCATGTAGTCCAGGGATGGGCTTCAAAAATTGCAGCAACGGGTTTGCTGACCTGTTGCTGGGTGGATGTAGCCATGTGGGCGTGGCCTAGTCGGCCTCCTGCACCATGGTGGTGGTACACCATACTCCCCAGGCTCCGGAGGCTTTCCTCGAGCCTCTGGAAGGATGAAAACTGCTTCCCTGGGCTCCGGAGACCCTCCGGAAGCCAGAAACAGGCCCATTTCTGGACTTCAGAAACTTCCAGTAGGATGGTTTCCCTCCTCCTTGAGCCTCCCCACAGGCCCTACACTTACCTGGCATGATGAACAGGCTCCTGGGAGGAGTAGGGTGGGCATGGTTAGCCAGGGGTGGCATTTGGAGATTTGACGAACTGGGCAGAATCCTAGCTAGAGGATCGCCCAAACCCGTGCTAACTCCCAGCAGCCCATCCCTGATGTAGTTCCCAGAATTTACAGTACTTACTTAGTTACTTAGTTTATTTATATGCCACTCTAATCCAAAAGGATTCTGGGTGGTTTACAATCCCCTCTTACAAGTCAGAGTAAACCACCAAAACAATTTACATTTGGAAGTGTAATTGAACCTATGGACCAAGCATCAAACAAAACTGCTTAGCCTTGCATGCCATATAGCAGTCTCCCAATTTCTAGAGATCAACTCCATTGCAAAATCTTCAGTCTCCAAAATAGTATGTGTGCTGGCAGATATATTTAATTGTGGCAGCAGCAGGGCTCAGACAAACTGGGAAACCTAAATCTCTTGGGCATAACCTGCTGTCAAAGATATTCCAAGGCCTGACACCATCTGGCAGGAGGCCACCCCATCCATTTTTGCAAATCTCTCTTGTCCTCTGGCTGCTGCAAATTTGTTGACAAGTTCTTTGTTAGTTCCTGGAACGTCTTCATGTAAGCTGGATGGCCCATGCACTGCTGCTAATTCAGGTTGCTACTTGTGTTGCCCAAGCTCTCAACAATATCTCACGGACACCTAACATCATCACCCATCCAGTCCATAGCTTCAAGCATTTTCCACACTTCACGTGGCCCAGATCTCAATCAATCTTCTCCTCTTTCCTCTCTTCTCTTATTCTGCCATCCAATATACACCAAGCCCTAAAAAATCCCTACCTCATAGTTTCTTCATTTCCCTTTGCATCCAATCTGATCACTGCACTTTCATTTCCCTTTCAATAATTTTCACTATTCTGTTCTGTCTGTCTTCCCCTTCCAATGCTCCTTACTATTGAGCTCAAAGAATATTTTACTTTTAGATAACCAATACTTTTAAGCATCTTTATATTACTAAGAAATATTAGATATCACTTAAGCTGCAGTTATGTATAATGAAAAGCATTACACATAAGCACCCTGATTATTATTTTGTTTTGCATCTTCTGTTCTAGGATGGTGTAAAGTTTAAAGAAAAGGACAATTTATGTAACTCCGGACCACTTTCACTCTCAGCTAACCTACTTAACAGGCTATCATTGTGGGGATAATATATGGAGAGAACCTATGGAAACCTTCTTAAGCTGTTACAGGAATGGAGAGATATTAATACAATATTTATCTCTTGGCTGTACATTCATACCAATATTTACTTTAAAAGCGAACAAACAGTAATAAACAGGAAGACACTTCTGCATCAAATACCGTATTTTTCCCAGTATAAGATGCATCGGAGTATAAGACGCACCAAGGTTTTAAAGAGGCAAATTTTAAAAAAAGTAGGTAAGTAGATAGAGGGATAGAGAGGGAGAGAGAAATACAGTAGGTAGGTAGGGAGAGAGAGAGTAGGTAGGTAGAGGGAGAGAGAGAGAAATACATAGTAGGTAGGTAGGGAGAGAGAGAGTAGGTAGGTAGAGGG